GGGGTGCAGCTAGAAGCATGTGTTTCACATGTCTGAATAAAATGTAAAGTATCCAAAGAGTAATTAAATCTGAAAAAATTAACAATGTAACTTTGAATATTGACTCATTTACTTGTCAGCTGAGTCAAACTCATTATATGTTACGACTCACCAATTGTCTGGGAAACATACTGTGTGTTTTTGTGAGCCTGTGTTTAGAAGTGAAGGACAATTAGTTAAGGACTAGGAATAGGCGTGTGTGTGTGTGTGTGTGTGTGTGTGTGTGTGTGTGTGTGTGTGTGCACCAGTGATGCGCGGGTCGATGTATCACACCCGACCGACGTTTTCAACAAAAAAAAGAAAATATTGTATATTGGATTTATGAACTGGGGTGCGGCTGCCTCTCAGAAAATACATAAAACTGAAATTACTGAGCTATAAGCGTTTAAAAGTAGCCTATAAAAATGGTAACGTTACTGGCATTGCTCAGTTCAACGTGTAGGGAAATCGTGCATTTTGTCTCGCGCAGGAAGTTTCTTCAAGCGTTAAACATTAACGCTTGAATGCTAAACATTCAAAAGGAAAATAAAGATTTCCCAATTGTAATTGTAGGCTAAGGCTATTTCGCCACGTGGATTCCCAATTGAAGCTCTCAAAAGCACAAAATGCAGGCATAGAATATCTAAATAAGTCTTTATTAACGCATTTTAGACTAACAAAAACAGTCTGAGTCAAAGACTGAGGCTACAATTTCCATAAATAAATGTTCCCAAATACCGATGAAAGTAAAAGTGAAAACTGAAACACACAGTAAACTTGTTTCCTTCTAACCTTGTTTTTGTATTTGCGGGACTTCCACTCCCCAGTCTTCAGCTTTTGTCTGCCGCCTCCATCTCTAAATTACCTCCAGAGCTCGTGCGTCATCCTCGCGACAGTTATTCGGCCGATAAAGTCTAGTGTAGGCCTATGTATTTCTTCTAGTACTATATAAATTACAACGGTTTAATTGGCATCATTGTTTCAAATGACCCGACCGACCGTGACCCGACTAGAAATTAATGCATTTAATTAAAAATCACTTTGCCATGGAGAACGACAGAACATGCTTGAAACCTTCACCACGAATAGAACTCTGCCATTGGATCGATTTCGTGCCGACTTTACAACTGCATGGATAAAATTTATTTTTAATGACGTTCCAGCTGATGAGGTAAAACATTGTCCGTCTGTTCGCTTAATTCCACTGAGGATTGTTTTGAAAACAAGACTGGATTTGCAGACCGATTAAAGCTGCGTTCACACTACACATGACCAAGCGACACGATACCATTCATTTTCAATGGTGAGCGGGCGACTTCCAGCGATACGCGTGGTCGCGACTGGATGGGCCATGTCTGACGATGCGACAAAGTTGAGAAATTTTTAGCTTTATGCAAATGAAGAGCGATTTTTGCAAGCAACAACCAATAGGAGTGAAGTCAGTGGAGTGCGCACTCTTCAGTGCTGAGTCTGACCGAAGCAAATTGAACGAAAAGCTCATTTTAGCAGTCAGAAACTCTCCTATAATGGATGATATATCTCCGTGTACATACAGTGATGTTCACCGTACTGACTCCGTGACTGAATGCCCAGATAGCAAACTGACATTGAATCAACGTAGAAACATGACATCGAAACAACGTTGATCTGACATTGTTTTGCTCATCGAATTAAGGTTGAACCAACGTCAGACGCGTCATTCTTTCAAAATTAACGGAAAATCAACTTGAAATCAACGTTGTTTCAACGTTATGAAAGCAAACCAATTTTCGATTTTCATTTAGCTTTGAAGAATGCCGCGTCTGACGTTGGTTCAACGTTAATTCGATGAGCAAAATCAACGTTGTTTCGATGTCATGAGAGACGTCGTTTCCACGTTGATTCAATGTCAGTTTGCTGTCTGGGTGGTTTCGGGAACCCAGATAGACCGGTATTTGCCCGTTTGCTGCAGTTAAATAGCAGCGATGGCAAAGAGCACTCACTGTTTCTCGTTCATTTTTAATATTATGCATATTATGTACTGATTCCATTTATATTTAGACTTTTCCTTCCAAAATATTTGTTTGTAGCGGCAATAAAACGTATTTGTTGTCTAACATAGAGTAACATCCGTGAATGTCACTCATGTCACAAACATTACTAGGCAACCAGTACACTGTAAAAACGAATACGCTTTATCTAATCAAAAAAATTGTGGCAACAGATTACAAGCAATATTATTCATTTAATTTAACAACTTAGAATTGAGTAATAATTAATCGAATTAATTCCTTAAAAGTTAACCATTTAAAATGAGTAAAACTAACAACATTAACAAACAAAAATGTACATTTAAGTCACCATTATGATGATCAGTGTTTGTTTTAAAATTGTTTTAAAATTACGGTTTTCTCCTTCAGTAATTCTGCTTGTTAACATCAGGTGTCTTCAATGTTGGCAATGAAATATAAATAGTTCTTAATTAATCTTTGACGTCTGTCTGTTATTAAGATATTTTTTGTTAAATTTTTGGGTGTAAACTCTAGACTAAGACTTGACTTAATGGTTGATTTCCAAGAACATGCTTGTTTGCTCACGGCACTTTCACAAAGGTAAGGTATTATTATCACAGCTATGCTCTCTTTGCTGTATAATCAACTCCGTTAGCATTGCAATTAGCCATTAGGCTAACTGATAACTGATATTTTTTTATGACATAGTTAATAGATTTTGTAATAGAAAATTTATTTTCTTTGTATCTCTTGAAACATTTAACTGCTTGAGTGGTTTGTGAAGTTGCAAGATGCATCATCATCTCCTTTGTAAACAGTTCAATAGTGTCCGCTTTGCAAAGAGGTCAATAGGACAGTACAAAAAGACAGAATGGTCTTTCTTTCTTGGCAATAGATGACTTTGGGTCCATCAAGAGCAAGACATGTTTGGTTAGGTGTTGTTTCTTAAGTGATACACTGATGTACTCAATGTAAAACACTGTGATCAATGTAAAACACTTCTACTCCATTAATCATAATGACTTGGGCCTTTTTTGTTCAGTGTTAAGGCCATTGCACACTGAGCACGAAATATTCGTATGCGTATTTTCGTGTTCGTCAGCCTAAAAATTAGTCACGCATAGAAACCTTGCACACCGAGTCCGTTGCGTATTTCTTAAACCTTTGCGGGAAAAAACGCAAAAATACCAAATGGATTCGTCAAGCAGTGAGGATGATTTTTGCCCTCTCTCTTATTGAAAAGAGAAGAAAGAGAAAATATTACGTCCATCCAATCATGAAATTGCGCCGAGAGGAAGGAGAGTTCCTTATCAAGGAGTTGCGAATTTATCCTGAGCGATTCAAAATTTACCTCAGAATGTCAGTGGGGCAGTTCGATGCTTTGCTAGCGATTCTGGAGCCACATATTAAAAACAAGACCACCAATTTCCGTGAACCAATCGATTCTGAACGGAGACTGGCAGTGTGTCTGGTATGGACCAGGTATGGACACACACACGGACAAACACACACCCGCGCGCGGCCCGTTGGAAGCGCTGGGCAGACAGAACAGCTAGGCTGTTATTGTGTATATTGTGCCCAAATAATACATTAGTTATCGAATAGGCTGCTCAATCACACCTTATTCGATCCTAAATTTCAATCTGATTGAAAGGGGAGGTTTATTAATTTCATAATCCAATATAGAGAAGAGAAGATAAACACTTGATCGAATTGAAAACCGAAACTGAAAGCACGGTGCATATGTGCAATGATTTGAGGACGAGCTCCCCCGGCCCTGAATTGTCAAAAGACCTCTCAAAATGCTGGCTCTGGATGCGAAAAACGCAGAAAATCGAACCCGATCCGATTAATTTTATGACGGACGAAAGTTTCGGAGGCGGTGTGCAAGCGTGACTGACATAACGTGAGGTCGAATTTTTTTTTTAACGTGCGAAAATTTCGGATGCGAATTTCGGACTCGGTGTGCAATGGCCTTTACACTTACTACAGATATTACATACGTAAGTGTGTTGTAAAATATTTGAGAATATTGTTTTTATAGCCAGAACACACAAATACACGGTAACAAATATATTTTATTTTTCCCACAAAAACAATGGGAGATAGATCGCACATTTCATACACCCCAACCAACACAAAAGTTGCACAAACAGTGGTCTACATACAAAACAACAGAAACATGTACTGTATGCAGTTACAGTAAAACTAAATAAATAACTGCTGCATCCTCTCTTCTGTTTCGGTGTTTTATGCTAAAGCTCTTATTGCTAATTGTAAAACTGTGTGACGGCTGTACGCACGTGTAAGTCACTGTGCATATCTGAATGGCAGTGTTCCTTGTGAAATTAAGAGATTTTCTGCATGAAATTGTTCCAAATGCAGATAATTTGTGTGTAGTGTTTTGAAAAGTGTGTTTTAGAACTGCAATTTGAGTGTAAAGCAGAATTGTGCTTGTATTTTAGCAGAACTGGTTCAATTGGGGTGGGCGAATGAGTGGTAATTGTGTCAAGTACCAGAATTTGTGTGTAAAAAAAAAAAAAGAGAAAAACTGTAATGTGACGGATGAATGAAGAGGACACCAAGAACGTGGTTGTGTCACAGCAGTGAAGCTTTCATTTTTATTAGGCTCTTTCTCTGCAAACAGCAACATCTCCTCAAACCTTACAAAACAGCAACAGCTTTCCACAAGGAAATATAACTGTTAGATAGCAATCAACATCAAAATAACAAAGCATAAAAAATTATAAAACAAAATAATATAGTTGTGGCTGCAGTTAAATTACCCTTAAATCAGAGGGTTCTCAAACTTACCAAAACACTGGAAACCCCCCAAATACTCAGATAAACCTCAAACTCTGTTTTTAAATTCAGCTCTAGAATTTAACTTTGACGTCAATAATATATGTTCATAATTTGAATGTTAATTTCTATGGACTTCTGTGTTTTTAGCGTTTGAACTGTACTTTTATTTTGGTGCGGTGATCTGACGTCATAATGCTGCGTCGCGCTCCTACATCTGTTGTGATTCGGCTGAAGAAAGGTTCGTCTTTTTAAACATTTAAAGAGTTTAAATGGTTCAATTACTTTTTTACTTTTTTTTTTTTTACAAGCGATGTAAAAAATAATAATTATGTATTGAATGTAACATGGTAATTCTTTATCCATTTTTAATTAACGTCATTTTTGTGAATAAAGCACATCCACAAACAAGTAAAAAGATCCGTCTCATTTCAATCCCTACATCGGGAATCAGTTCATTATAAACACAAGTTGATCACTGATGATTACCCAGATAGCAAACTGACATTGAATCAACGTGGAAATATGACATCGAAACAACGTTGATCTGACATTGTTTTGCTCATCGAATTAACGTTGAACCAACGTCAGACGCGTCATTCTTTCAAAACTAACGGAAAATCAACTTGAAATCAACGCATTGTTTCAACGTTATGAAAGCAACCAATTTTCGATTTTCATTTAGCTTTGAAGAATGCCGCGTCTGACGTTGGTTCAACGTTAATTCGATGAGCAAAATCAACGTTGTTTCAATGTCATGAGAGACGTCGTTTCCACGTTGATTCAATGTCAGTTTGCTGTCTGGGTTAGGTTTAAGAAAAGTGAAGATTTTTGAAACTCCGAGTCAATTAATCCAAATGTTTTGCAAAATGATTCATGTTCAAAGTGCTCATATCACCTCAAACACGGACGACTCTTGCTGGTGAAACCGTGTAAATACAACGAGAACAACAAACACAAACTGGTGTAATGATAACTTTTGCTAAGTGTAATCTATTAAATGTAATTTAAAAGTTATTAAATACCAAGTATAAATCGGAACTAAATATTAATTGTCTGTTATAATGCTATTTCTTTGTCTAAGTATGTGATTTAAGTCCATTAACTCTCTCTGACTGACTCTTTCACCAGTGAACTGAAACTAAAGCTGATTTAGACGCTCTCAGAGATTTAGTTTTGAGTGTTTTTACTTTTTTCCCCTCAAGATGGCGTTTATTAAAGATGAGAATGAAGACGTGAAGATTGAAGAAACGTTCAGAGTGAAACTTGAAGAAACTGAGGAACACACAGGTTGGTTTCATTCTCAAAGCTGAACTAATTTGATCCTTATTAAAATGTCCAGCTCTACAGAAATGAATAGCAATGTTTCCACTGTCGGGTCAGTGTGAGCCAGGGCTTTAAACGGTAAAAGTCTCAGACCTGCAGCACTGAGTCCAAAACCATGCAGTGTTTCTGCCGTCGGACCAGAAACTCCACAGCGCTTCACTAAAACACATCACTCTGAAACAACGTCACACAAACCCTTCATTTCACCAACAAATGGAAGTTTTATCAGGAAACAAATCACAAAGAAATCACTGGAAACGAGAGATCCCAAAAAAACCATGATAAAAGTGCCCATTTGTGGGCATTTTTGTTGTTTGCCTAAAAAGTAAAACCCAAGCATCGATGTTTTACACTAATAAGTGATACATTGACCATAATAAATGGATTTATGCAAAGATTATGCTTTAGACACAGAAAGTTTGTCTTATTTGAGTCTTTTCACGAAACCGGGATGATTTGGACTTACACATTTTTAGATTTTTTACCAATATGCACTACCGGTCAAAAGTTTTAGATCAGTAAGATTTTTTATGTTTTTGAATGAAGTCTCTTCTGCTCACCAAGGCTGCTTTATTTGATGAAAAAAAAATGACAAACAGTAATATTGTGAAATATTATGACAATTTAAAAAGACTGTTTTCTATTTTAATATATTTTAAAATGTAATTTGAAAGCTGAATTTTTAACATCATTACTGTTGCTGATTACACATCAGTTTTCAGTGTCACATGATCCTTCAGAAATCATTCTAATATGCTGATTTTATGCTCAAAAAACATAAATTATTATTTTCAGTGTTGAAAACAGTCGTGTACCATTTCCCCCAAAAAATTCTATGATGAATAGAAAGTTCAAAAGAACAGCATTTATTTAAAATATAATCTTTTCTAACATTATAAATGTCTTTACTGTAACTTTGATCAATTTAACTCATCCTTGATGAATAAAAGTATTTTCTAATTTCTTTCCCTCAAAAATAAAAAAAATAAATTCTTACTGACCCGAAACTTTTGAATGGTAGTGATTAATGTTACAAAAGCTTTCCATTTCAGATCAATTCTGTTCTTTTGAACTTTCTATTCATCAAAGAATCCTGAACTAAAAATGTAAAAAGCTGTTTTCAACATTGATAATAATCATAAATGTTTCTTGAGCATCATATTATGATAATTTCTGTAGGATCATGTGACACTGAAGACTGGAGTAATGATGCTGTAAATTCAGCTTTGATCACAGGAATAAATTACACTTCACTATATATTCACATAGAAAACCGCTGTTTTAAATTGTAATAATATTTCACAATATTACTGTTTTTTTATCAAAAAATTGCAGCAGAAGAGACTTCTTTTAAAAACATAAAAAAAATCTAACCGATCTAAAACTTTACACTGGTAATTAATATATATATATTTTACAATATATGTATATATATATATATATATTATATCATTAATTAATTACTCACCCCCATGCAGTACCAACCCCGTAAGACCTTCGTTCATCTTCGGAACACAAATGAAGATATTTTTGATTAAATTTGAGAGCTGTATAACTACCACATTGGCTGCCTAAGGAACTGGCTCTTGACGGCCCAGAAAGTCAATGAAGAAAATGTTTAAATATCCCATGTGACTACCGTGGCTCAACTATAAGTTTATCAAGTGACGAGAATACTTTTTGTGCGAAAAAACAAACAAAAATAACGACTTTATTCAACTATTCCTTTTCTTCCTTGTTGCCCTGAAACGAGACTTCCTTAAATTTCCACGACGCATGCGCGAGAATTGCGATCTCCTTCCACTACTTCAGCTCAGTTCTCGCGCATGCGTCGTGGAAATCTAAGGAAGTCTCGAATATTTTTTCTAAATGCTGTTTAAATATGTACCCGATTAAGGTGAATTAAATGCAGCTTTATTAATGAGCAAACGTTGGGATGTTAAGCGCACCATTTACGTGTGGCTGGGAGCAGGTGTAGATTTCTTCCGTACCAACTAACATTTGGAAAATACGAACATTTTAATGAATCTGGGTGTGAATTAATGAATTTACCTGGGTGAATACCTTACCTTATATATATAACAGCATGACGGTTCGTATTTGTAGAAGTCTCTCCAAATTGTTCCTCAAACCACTTATCCATCGTCATGCCACCTAGTATAAATCGAAATTTACTTTAAACATTTTAGCCTTTTTAAATTATGTCTGTGAGTGGACATAAGTGTAAAAGTAAAGAGCTACTGGAGGCCAAACTTAAAACAAAGAAAGCACTGGAGTGACATTTTTGCTGCAACAGAAAACACCGCTGACAGCGCTGAGCCCCAACTAAAGAGGAGGTTAAATATCACCACAGTGGAGCCGATTGAAATGAGTCAAATATTTAATGCGTGCACAATAAACTGAGATGTTCAAATAAATTTAAATAAACAACAATAAATAAAGTATCTCGTGTTAGGCAGCATTTTAGCAACTAAATTAATAACTAGATTAAAGACCTAACTGTTATCTATCAAAATATGTGCCCTTGTGTTTTTTTTTTGTGTTTTTTTTAGTTTGCTGAGAGATAAGCTATGCCTATTTGTGTGAGGAAATTTCACAAATTTTGTGTTGTAAAAAAATAAAAAGAATGAGACAAAGTTTGAGAATGGTTTGTTGTTTTTATTTGAGCTTTCCTCCATATTACACATTGGAACGTTGTTGTTCACAGTCAGGGACTATATTTTTCTAGCGGAAGGAATGTTTTTATTGATTTAACTACATGAAAGTTGCACTAATACATTGTTTTTTTTATTTTAATATTGTGTGGCAACCATTTTATAAAAGCAATAAGGTACTCAAGGCAAGTGCTGTATCGTGAATTAGTAACGGCTGAAGGGGTTACTCCGCTTCGTGTCGTGCCTAACAACGCCCTTCAGCCGTTACTTATTCACGATACAGCACAGCCTCTCGTACCTTATTGCTTACTTACCTCATTATGGCTGTAACAAAAGATGTGTGATGCTCCTTTGGTTATGAACAGCTCGTGCAAATGTGCGTGTATGTGTGTGTGTGTTCCTCCATGAACGCGCACAGCTCTGGTTGCAGTTTCGCTTGTCGCCAGAGGGGGCGTAGTTCTGCAAAAACTCAGATACTTGCGTTTAGCTCCTTTAAGCTGTCCAAAAGAAAGGGGTAGTCTTTGTTGCAGAAAGATCTAATAGCACTTTGAAGGAAGATATAGCCATGACTGGATGCCAAAAACTGGTTATTTGAACAAACAAACAAACAATGAGGCTTAAATCTTGACTGATATTGTTCTCAAATACCTTTTCTCTGCAAAACTGAACATAGTCGAGAGGCCAAAATTTCTTTTATATTTTAGACATAATTGTTGGTTTGAGGCCTGTCTGTAATTGAACAGTTCTTGGGCTTTGGGTATGGGGTTTGATAACTACCAGTTTGAAAGTATTTGGGATGTGTCCTAAAGAAATGAAAGGGTAAGGAAAATTGGCAAGGGGTTCTGAGATTACAGATATCAACCCTTTCAGTTGCATGTCATAAAACTGGTGTTAACTTGCATTTGTCTCTTTTCTCTTTAGACCCGATGCCACTCAAAGAGGATAGGGAAGTACTGAATGAAATGGAGGAGAGAGATCAGTATGAGAAACATCATGATTCAACAACTGGAGAAAAATGGTTTAGTTGTTCACAGACTGAGAAATATTCCTCACAAAAAACAAACCAACAAACAGAAACTATAAGCGATTTCATCTCCTCTCATTGTGGAAAGAGTTTCACTAAAACAGGAACCCTTAAAGCCCACATGAACATTCACACTGAAAAGAAGGCTTTCACCTGCCAACACTGTGGGAAGAGTTTCACTAGAAAGGGAACCCTTAAAGACCACATGAACATTCACACTGAAGAGAAGCCGTTCACCTGCCAACACTGTGGGAAGAGTTTCACTAGAAAAGGAATCCTTAAAGCCCACATGACCATTCACACTGAAGAGAAGGCTTTCACCTGCCCTCAGTGTGGAAAGAGTTTCACTACGAAAGGAATCCTTAAAGACCACATGATAATTCACAGCAAAGAGAAACCGTTCACCTGCCCTCAGTGTGGAAACAGTTTCAATCAAAAAGGAAGCTTTAACAGGCACATGATAATTCACACTGGAGAGAAGCCTTACATCTGCAAACTGTGTGGAAAGAGTTTCAGATTTACAGGAAATCTTCAGATGCATATAAGAGTTCACACTGAAGAGAAGCCTTTCACCTGCCCTCAGTGTGGAAAGAGTTTCAGATACAAAGGAAACTTCCAGATGCATATAAGAGTTCACACTGGAGAGAAGCCTTACACGTGTCTTCAGTGTGAAATGTGTTTCACGTATAAAAAGGACCTGAAGCGTCATTTGAAAACTCATTCTGGAATCGAGTGTTCCTCAATCTGGCAAGAAGTTTAGAAAAAGAAGCAATTTCAATTTGTGCATTCACCCTGGAAGAAGGAAATTTAAGTCCCAAACCATTGAAGAAAAATGTCCAACTCTCTGTGTTTTCACTGTTATACTGTAGGGGTGCAGTGACGACATCTGAGCAAGTACTGAATCTCTGGATCAAAACACAGGCGAAGAAGAAGGAGAAACAAGCGAAAGTAAAATAACACGATCAACAGCGTAGAAATTGTCATGACCTGGCTCTGAAGCCATGACGAAAATAGAAGGACGCAGTTTTAAAGGACAACTCCGGCGCAAAATGAACCTTTAGTCAAATTACACATTGTTACCTAGTCAACCGTTATCTGAGATTTGTTTTCATGATTGCCGAATGTAAATAGTTTTATCTATAAAAACAGTTTAGCTTAAAACGCTAGTATAATGCTAGTATTTAGGGCATAGAGTAATGACAAATAAAAATCGCTTGTTATTACCACTAAAACGGCTCAAAATAGCCCCACAGTAACACGACAGCATAATAAAGGTCCCTACATTCAAACCGAAGCATTGAGAAATTTGTCAGTGTCCATACAGTTTAATAAGGAGATATTTTATACACACAGTCAACTTCGCGAATACAGGAAGAAGCCATCTTTGAAAAATAGTCTCTACCAGTCGATCTACGAACGCCGATCCAAGTGCGCTGGTGAGATGTGAATAAGGTGATAAGGTGAGCGCGAACAGTTGGCTACGTGTACATATTGAAGAGAAGTAAACAGTTTGTGTTTCTTCTGGAAACAACGGACCATATGATATTCTGCACAGTTCAGCACACTTGGATCGGCAGCTGGCTACACGATGGACGCGTGGGAGAAGTGGCGGGTCGTGTGTCTGGCGGCTCTTTCCGTGGAGGACGTTGAAGATATCTACCTATTCGGAACCATGATAACAGGTCTTCTGCTGATTGGATTAGGCATTGCCCTGGTTTATCGAGGAATTAAAAAGACGGTGACAGCTGTCCAAAGCCTCACAAGGCTGCCCGTCATGATTGAAGCGGTGGGCAGAGCTGTCAGCACTGGGACTGTGTCTATGAACCAGAATATGGATAACATCATGGAGAAGCTTTCAGCTTTGCAGAAGGATTTGGATCGTTTAGGAGACCAAAGACAATGAGAATTAGCCGTGTAAATTGAATGCGGCTTTTCGCCCCAAGACCAAACAATTCCAATCTTACCTGTTTTTCGGCCGCCCTCAACCAGCACTGGCCTTGGCCAAGGCCGCTGTTGGGACAACAACTCCCCCGGAAGAGCACTGCAGTGAGCCGCTCTCGCGTTCCTTCCCCGATTCCCCAGGACACCTAATGATTGTTGACTTTGTCTGGGACATGATCAAGGTTTTCTCCACGGCAACCTGCTGTGTATCGCTATGACATCTGCGGACTTGAGGCACCTAGATTATGATGCCAGGCATAGCGACTCTCCAGGCCTACACATACACGAACTCTTACACATACATACAGATATGCATTCACCAGCCCCACACCCCATCCCTCGCCTTCGCCGCTTTTCACCCCCGAGTCTGACAGGCGGGTCTGTGACCAGTGCCGAGAATGGCTGCAGGACCGGATGGCTGCTTGCCTGTGCTGGGTCACCTCCACCCCCCACTCCCGTACCCTGTTGCAAGTCTAGTCTGTTCATTTTGTAGAGTGTACTGATTATGTGCCAATGTTGCTGAGGTGTTTTTTTTACTGTTCCCAAACTGTACTCCTCACAGGAGCATAGTATGGGGGTTAAAAGGGTTGCCTTTTTTCTCTTCACCTCTCCTCATGTTATGCTGTATTTCTTCCTCAATGCTCTGTCTTCCTGTCCTGTCTACCCCCTTGTTTTTATTGTATGTCTGTCTGATGGATAGGTTGATGGCTAATTTCACTGGTACTTGTGACTACGTGACAATAAAGGCTACTACTACTACTACTACTACTACAGTTACCACCTCTCCCCAGATCCGTAATCTTGGTGTCATTTTTGTCTAGTTTGGTGTCAAGTTTTAGTCTACAATCAACCAAGGGGGTAATCCATCGACCGGAAGTTGAAGCCTCACGGGAGCTGCCATCCTGTAGCAGAACTTCACTTGCGTTAGCATTTCCATTGATTCCTATTCATTTTGGCATCACTTTGACAGCGAATAACTTTACAAAAGGAATGTTTAGAAATGTAAACTGATATTACCTACTTACACTCTATAGTGACAAAGTCAAGTCACCTTTATTTATATACAGCACTTTTTACATTACAGCCCGTCGTCTATCTTTGGAACGAGAATAACGGCTGTAAAAGCCCGACTCACTTAGGGACGGGGAGAACGTCGCAATGCCTCCTTTCATCAGAAGTTTTGACACTGCGCAAAGTCTCTATCAATGTGTGGAATCGTAGGGGCCAGTGTCCATCCTAGCGTCCATGCGCTTCAGCTGCTGGGCGGGGCTGAGGAGCTTGTGGCACAGGGCTTGGCTTGCCGAGGAGGCGGCGTTCTGTTAGGGCGCCAAGAAACCTAACTTGAGCACTTTGGCAAATAGTGTTGCATGGCTTGTGATGACTTCTGTGCCTCAGTAAACCTCTCAGAGAAACCCTTGACCGCTGGCCAGAAGAGGCCCTGTTGGAGATAGGCCTGTCCAGGAAAGCTTTTGTCAACATTCTTAAGTTTGGTCAAGTTCAGCCAAAGATACCGCTCTGACACAATAAGGCTAGCTATCCCCCTGCCGATAGCCTGGGCAGTTGATTTAGTGGCTCGCAGAGCTAAATCCGTAGCGCTGTACAGATCCCCAAACGCCTCTGGATCTGGTCCAGCCATGCCATAGTACGGAGGAGTCTGGCCAGATACGCTTGTAGAATGTCCATGGTATTCATGGTATTCAACAGCAAGTAACTTTTCCTCTGGTAAACCTGTCGGCCTACAGATCGGAAGCGGAATTGTCCTCATTAGAACTACAGAAACCCAACCCGATCTAGCAATCTTACATAGCGTGGATATACAGGATAAAGGACCGCAAAGAGGTGGCATTAGTGCATTTCACCATGTCATGACTGGATGAACCACTGAAACGATTTTGGAATCATTATTTTAAGGTAAAAAAATCCTACTTAGTGTTGCTTTAATCGGGCTTGGTCTCATGTGTGAGGGCACAGATTAGTTCAGCTTTGACGCTCACTCTGGCTCTGCCACAGCTGGCCTGAGACTGAAGGGTGGGTTTTGTATCAAGCTCGGCCATTCCTCTTAATCAGACGCGGTAAGCGAAAGGCTGTCGTCGCCATCTTCCCCTGACAGAAGGGCCAGGTGCGTGAGCATCAACTGTTCAGACGAGGATCTGACATGGAACAGATTTAAAAAGTCATGTTAAACCTTTCATTTGATTATTTTTAGCAGAAAATCTGATTTAACCCAAGCTCAGGTGTGAACAGAACCTTTATTTGATTCACAAACAATTTTTTTTTGTGACATTTTAAATTCCACGCAAACAAAAATAGTCTCAAGTCTACATGTTTTCATTTTTTATTCAAGTGAGCCCAGTAAAAAAAAAAACAAAAAAAAAAAAACTTGCCAGCCACCGCCAGCATTTTTGATAATTTTCACAAAAGTTTCATGGCCCCCAGAATATTTTGTTGTTCAAATATCTGAAGAAAAAAAAAGTTTTTTGTTCTATACATTCCTTTATCAACACTTGAATGTAAGTCTCATAAAAAAAAGCTAATTATTTTTGCAAAAAAACTGAAAAATCACTTTTTTGTCAAAGACTACATCCAGATTGGTTTCAAAATGACCAAAACATTGATTGATCGAGTCCATTAACACCCCTAAAGCCTCACAGTTCTATAGCTCGTCCTGGGTCAACATTTCATTCAGTTACATTAGGCAGTTTTGATTTTGTGATGGCCATGCATCTGGCCTGTCTTCCCTGTGTCTGGCTTGTTCTGTGTTGCAGGCTATGGTTTATCAGTGAGATTGGGGACACCAGGGCCCAGGTGTTTTACGCCTTCATAAACCTACCACCCTAGCCTGTCTTTCCCTTGCACTACTTGTTTGGCTCATGCAACACCCCACAGCATACATTTCATTTATCCAAACACGCACCTCATCTTGCTGACTTTACTGATATATACACCTCATAGTTGTATTATGTTATGTTAGTTGCTGTATTGGTTTCTTTTAAACTTAATTTGTTTAGTTTAAAGGTGCCATCTGTCAAAAAAAAAATCAAATCATACTCCATATTCCATACCAGATGGGGGCAGTATACCTCCAGAGAGTGAGCTGTGCCGCAGCCGAGTGCACTCTCACGTCTTCAAACAACACGAGCGAGTGCTGTCTTGCTCTCTTTCCCTCGCGCATATTAATCAAATCAATTGACACGATGGTAAAAGGTTGGAAGACTGCAGTTTCACGTGGAGCATTTGAAGATTTTTACAGATTAGAGACTCAATGAACAACATCTCAACACTAAATTATAAAGGCCGTCTCATAGACGCCTGTCTCAAATACAAGCCGGTGCATTTCGACGATATGGGAAAATAAAAGTCCGGGCTATTAATTGAAGTATTACGGTATTCGTTTTGTTCATATTACATTTTTATTGTTAGTTTGAATTAATTTGACAGAGAGCATTCGCTGATGTTGACCAAGCTAGTGCCATTCAGAGCTGCCAACTCTCACGAATTCACCGAGAGACACGCAATTGACACTTTCACACGCTCTCACGCCACACATCAATTTTGTCACGCACAGAAAAGGACACGGAGACCGACAGACTAGACAGAGCAGGTTAGTTATGATATATATAAAAATCTCAGCTCTCAGATTCTGTCAATTTTATTACGTAATTCAAACAATAAATACCGCTTTGGCTCTTGTAAATGTTACACGACAGATCCCTAGCGCATGTGAACCGATCACCTCTACTAGCTAGTGGTAAAAGAACACGAACACTGTTGAAAGATACAGTATGTTACAACTTACCAAAATGTATTCCTCATGCATAATATCGCCCAATCATTTTCTGAACTCTTCCCTGAAATGACATGTAGTAGTGGGCTGTACTTTCCACACGACTGACATCAGGTTCAAGTACGCCCACAAGCCGGCGCG